TGGGCCCCGGGGGTTTGGTTGTTAAGTTTGATGGAGGTTGCATTTTGGGTCAATTGCCCCCTTCTTAGAAAAGGGAAAAAAGTAAACAAAAACCCAAACCCCGATGCCCAAAAATTTTTCAAAAGAAAATGTGCCCGGGCCCAAACCCTTCTTTATCCGAAGGTTGTACCCCTTTTTTTTCTAGTCCGTAAATTGGTTTTCTTCTGTAAACGTTGCAGGGTGTTTGGCCCCAAAATTTTTGGAGGGAAAAAGGAATTTCCCCCTTTTTTGTGAAATAGCGGCTTGATTTAATTTTTTTTAAAGATTTTTGGTCTAAGTATGTAAGGTAGTTGATAAAAACCCGCCGGCCCCCCTTTTAAGTGGAAAATTTTTTGGAAATTTAAATTTTGGGAAAACCCCCTGAGTAGAAAGGGGGACGGGCCTGGGTGGTTAAAGTTTTGAAAATTTTTTCCCCGGGAAGATTTAGAATTTTATTTCTTTAACCTTTTCCCATTTAATTTTTTGATTTTGCGGGAAGAATCTAGTTTAAATCCAGTGATTTGTTTTGGGGTTTCTTTCCCATTCCCCCCTTTTAGCAAAACCTTTTCTTTAAAAAGCCAGAATTGCAAAAAAAGTCATTAAGGGTACCTTTGGAGGGAAGTTTTCGTCCCATTATTTAAATTTTTTTTCTAATTTCTTTTTTTTTTTTCGGGAAAACAATTATTTCCCTTTTTTTTGTTTTTTTGTGTCGCTAGAAATTTTTAATTTCCTTAAAAATTGTTTTGGGGATAAAGGTTTTTTTTCCAAAATTTTATTGTTTTTCCTTTTATATATTTTGTTTCTTTTGTTTCTATTTTAGGAAAAAATGGGATAAAACCTTTTGGGATCCCCTTTGTGTTTTTTTTTAAAACGCCTTTGGGGTTTTTTTTTTTTTTTGCCCCCTTAAATTAAATTTTCCTTTTACTATATTTTTTTCGGTCTTTTTATCTCAAATTATTTTAACCCAATTCCCCCCAAACCCAAAATTTTTCGCTTTTGGTTGCCGTTTTTTTTTCAAAAAAATTTCGGTTTTTTTAGTTTTACTATATTTTTATCAAAACCTATTTTTTTTAAAAAGTTTTCCCCCAAAGTTAGAGAAATGCTCGAATTTTTCTCCCCTTTTTTAAAAAGGTTTATTTTTTGGAAAAAAACAATGATTTCGCCCTTTTATGTGACCAGTTGGCAGTTTCAAGGACGAAATCCTGAGGAATATACAATATGCAGAGTCACTTTTCCGTAAACTAGTTGGTCTAGTTAGACAAAAAATCCCCCATTAATTTTTTTTCGAGTCTTTAATTTCGGAAAGGAAAATTTTTAAGCAAGGGAAAATTTTTTAAACCCCCTTGGGAAAATTTTTTTAAATTAAACCCTTTTTGTTTTTTCAATAAGTTTGGGAAAAAAATTCTCCACAGGATTCGGGGGGAAAAAGGGGCCCTTAAAGTTTTTAGTTTAAAATTTAATATTTTTTTTAAATTATAATCCCCCACCCGTTTTTAGCTTGGGGGAGTTGAACTCGGTGGATAGAACGTTTAGTTCGAGCTCCCCCCCCCGAAAGGAAAATTCCCTGTTTCAATTTTTTATTTTAAGCAGGAACGTGTATTTTTTTGTATTTATCTATTTTCTCCCCAAATTCTTTAATGTTCCCATTAAGTGACCCAACGTTTAGGAGAAAGTTTTTAAATTTATACCCTTTGTTTTTTTTATTGCTTTCGGGTAAGGGGATTTGAGTTTATTTTCTAATTTTTCCATGGATTCAAAAACACATTTTTTATCCCAAAAAATACCTATTTTGATTTGATTTTTGGGTATAAAGGGGTTTTTAAAAAAAATTTTTTAAAATTTTCATTGAAAGCGCTTGGGAAAAATTTCGGGGAAAAAATTTTCAATTCTTCCCCTTTTTTTGGCCCCGGAAAAATTTTGGGGGGATGGTTTTCCGTAAATTGGGGATTTGGCCCCATTTAAATTTTTTGAATGGATTTTCCTTTTTGGAGTTGGGGTTGTAGGGTAGGGGAATGGGGGTGAACCCAGGAAGAATTTTAAATGGGGGAGAAGCCTTTCGGTTTTTAGTTTTTTTCCATTTGGTACACATTTTTGGGGGTATTATATCGTCAAAGGGGGTTATTTGTTCTAGGGTTTAAATACAGCAAAATTGGGAAAATACCCCTTTTTTTTTGGGGAAATGGGCGGGAAAGTGAAAAAGGGGGTTTTTACTTTTTTTTAATTAAAAAAAGGAAAAATTATAAGTTTATCGGGAAAGAAAAGGGGCCCGGGAAAAAGTGAAAAAGTGGAAATTTTGTTTAAAATTGTCGGGTCCCCATTCAGTTAATAGAAAAAATAATTCGTTTTGGTTTTTTTGTGGAGAAAAAGTTTTTTAAAAGTTATGAAGATTTTGAATTAATTATTTAAAATTTTTGTATTTTTTTTGTAATGGTTTAGGGGCTGATTTTTGGGGCAAATTTTTAAAGGGAAAAATTTTTTGATTTAAGGGTGCGATAAACTGGGTTGAAAACGACATTTTTTGAATTTTTTAGTAAATTTTTTATGATAAAGGTTTTTTTGGGATTTTCCCCGTTCCCAATGGAAAAAAAAACCCCCCCTTTGGGCCCTGTTTTCAAAAAAACTGGCCCCCCAAATTTTTTAACCCGGGGGAAAAAAAGGGACTAAATTTTTTTTTGGAATTTTTTTGGGGTTCCCTTTCCTTTAACACAAGTTTTTTTGGATAAAAAATAAAAAATTTCAGAAAAAAATTTGACATTTTGAGCAAAAATAAAACTGTTAAAAAGCTTAACCTCCTCATTAAGCCACGAGAAACGTGTGAGAACTAAAGAATTAAATATAAAAGTCGTGTTAGGATATTTCTCAATTAGATAATCAATATTTCTTTTAAAATCACATGAAAGGGAGTGGTGGTGGTGGTCATAGCGAGATAAATCGTTTATACCAGAAGAAATTATGACAATTTTAGAGCCAGAAATATACTGTTCGTGATCTAAAATTTTGGATAACTGGTACATTTCGCGTTTGATGCAGTGTACGTTAGGAAGGTCGAAAGGAACATCTCTGAGAAGCGAGTCCGTCAAGAATAATAGACGCTCCTTAGGTTGAGACTGCTCAGTAACTGTAGGCTTATGAATCGGTTCGTGGATCCTCGGGATTTTTTTGCGAGGGGGGTTATTCTGAGAGAGGCGTCTGAACATAAGCGATATTCTGCAGTCCTGAGTTTCTGGTTGTGGCAATATACCATGCTCCCAGAAATTCTGTGATTCACGTGTCTTCACATACACACATCCATGATCAAGTTTGTGGATCTGTTGTTTGACCGGACCGACTTTGCTACGAAATACCAGGTCTCTAGAAGCCCCAAGACTGAGTGTAATGATGTCACCAGTGACCTCATTTTCATCATCACTGTGGAAGGGTATATGGCACTTGCCGTTTTCATATTTGGTGATTAGACAAGTTACCTGCTCCTTATTAAACGTAGGGTCATCTAATGCATTCGAAATGTTTGTAAAAATGTGGTCAATAACGGAGTTCTGAGGATAGTTTCTGGCATGATGCACGGTTGACCCATAGCGGTAATCTGTTGCTCCGAAGTACTGTACGGATCGGGATGCGATTCTGCGGAAGTTCATGCCCTTGCAGATGTCCATCCAATTAATGTCATTAAAGTTCACACTTAGATTACATACCGGAGTAGGTAGAGCTGCGGAGGGTGAGCTGATCACTAACTGTGGTGGGGCTGGAGCAGAAGGGAGTGCGCTGTTTCCGACGCAGTCTGCGGTTGTTCTCCGAACTTCTGTCTTGTAGTCCTCTAGTGTTGTTTCTGCCTTCTCCAGCAAACCGGAAAAATGGTTCATTAACGAATCTATTTTAGCGACATCTACCGTAAACGAATTGATAAAGTTAGCATTTTTACAATCGTTCTCCAGTTTTTGTTTCAATAGAACTTTACGTTTTGAAGTCTTAGTGTTGGATTTAATCCCTAAATCAATTCCCAGTGAATTGTTGTACGAGATTTCGTGCGCCATGTGCTCGTCCTTAACGTGCTCGAACAGATCGAGACATAGTTTAGGTGACAGGGTAGGAAGCCACTGTCCAAAAGTTATGTCTGTTTGAGTACTAACGCACATACCGTGTGTGGTAGGGGTTGCCAGGCAGTGTTCTGTAGAGGTAGTGGTATGGGCACCACTACCTGGCAGCCCGGAGTCCGAAGAGATGATGTCCATATTAGGAGTTGGTTGGATGTACATTTGTTGTAAATTTGAGTGTAAGGCAGTCTTATCAGCACCAGCTTACAATCTATCGGCGGCTTATCAAACTATACTAGCGATTTAAAAGCATGCGTAATACATAAAACTATTTTGATGAAAACCATAGTAACACTACCATATAAGGTAATGTTAGTGCTCGTATCTAACTAAGGTTAGTAACCATAGTAACACTACCATAAGGTTAGTGCTCGTATCTAACTCAGGTTAGTAACCATAGTAACACTACCATATATGGTAATGTTAGTGCTCGTATCAAACTCAGGTTAGTAACCATAGTAACACTACCATAAGGTTAGTGCTCGTATCTAACTCAGGTTAGTAACCATAGTAACACTACCATATATGGTAATGTTAATGCTCGTATCTAACTCAGGTTAGTAACCATAGTAACACTACCATATAAGGTAATGTTAGTGCTCGTATCTAACTCAGGTCAGTAACCAAAGTAACACTACCATATATGGTAATGTTAGTGCTTGTATCTAACTCAGGTTAGTAACCATAGTAACACTACCATATAAGGTAATGTTAGTGCTCGTATCTAACTAAGGTTAGTAACCATAGTAACACTACCATAAGGTTAGTGCTCGTATCTAACTCAGGTTAGTAACCATAGTAACACTACCATATATGGTAATGTTAGTGCTCGTATCTAACTCAGGTTAGTAACCATAGTAACACTACCATATAAGGTAATGTTAGTGCTCGTATCTAACTCAGGTCAGTAACCATAGTAACACTACCATATAAGGTAATGTTAGTGCTCGTATCTAACTAAGGTTAGTAACCATAGTAACACTACCATATAAGGTAATGTTAGTGCTCGTATCTAAATCAGGTCAGTAACCAATATGTTTCTGCATTATAATTATTATTTTCAAGACATTACCCTGTCTCCAGGCACGTGACTTGAACCTAGACGTGTTGAGAATAGAAGGGTACAGGAAGTTCTGCAACAAGATGTGGAACGCTGCTAAGTTCGCTCTAATGCAGCTGGGAGACAGCTACACTGCTCCTGACAGGGACCTGATGACCTGCAAACTGGAGACTGCTAACTTCTCTACTATTGGTGAGTTTTACGCGCGTACCACGTGTTACCACGTAACTTTTGCCTTCTCGCAGTATTTAGGTTATTACTTATTGGTTGACGCACTACTCACAAGCGTCAGGACATTGTACACAAGCGTTTTGCTTTTTTTCAAAGTTTACTGGTCACCCATCTGAGCTGACGTAACATTAAATAGGTAATACTAATTGCAGTTACACTAGCTAATACTAACCTTATTCCCTTCAGATAAGTGGATATTGCACAGAGCAGCAGTAGCTATATCAGACACTAACACCTCCCTTAAAGAGTACCAGTTCCAGCAGTGCACCACTGCTATCTACAACTTCTGGTTATACGACCTGTGCGATGTTTACTTAGAGGCCACAAAACGCGTCTTTTACAAGGTAACCATGGTAACTGTTATTGTTAACGTCACGTGCTGTTTACACATTCTAAAAGCCATGATAACAACACGCTGTCTATTACCCTACATCTCTCTCAGGGTAGTGAGGATGAGAAGGAAGCAGCTAGACACACTCTCTGCACTTGTCTGGATGTGGGACTCAGGCTCATCCACCCCTTCATGCCCTTCATTTCAGGTAATTAGTCGTTCTGAACTTTTAGCAATAGTTAACATTACGGTTTCAAACGTCGGTCTGGAAAAAGCGATGAAACTTACCCGGCTTGCTGGCTTGGTTCTATGTGGGAGAGATGCACACAGCTGAGGGAGCATGTCTCGCTCCTTATCTTGCTCCTTATCTCGCTCCTTATCTAATATCTAATAAAATACCCTGCCTATTATAGAGGAGCTGTGGCAGAGATTACCTCGGCTAGGAACAGAGACAGCACCCTCACTGGTGGTAGCTTCCTACCCCCGAACTGGAGCGCTCTGGTTGGACACTCAGTTGGAGTCTAGAGTAAACCTCGTCAAAGACATTGTACATACCGCCAGGTTAGTCTAGAGTAAACCTCGTCAAGGACATTGTACATACCGCCAGGTTAGTCTAGAGTAAACCTCGTCAAGGACATTGTACATACCGCCAGGTTAGTCTAGAGTAAACCTCGTCAAGGACATTGTACATACCGCCAGGTTAGTCTAGAGTAAACCTCGTCAAGGACATTGTACATACCGCCAGGTTAGTCTAGAGTAAACCTCGTCAAGGACATTGTACATACCGCCAGGTTAGTCTAGAGTAAACCTCGTCAAGGACATTGTACATACCGCCAGGTTAGTCTAGAGTAAACCTCGTCAAGGACATTGTACATACCGCCAGGTTAGTCTAGAGTAAACCTCGTCAAGGACATTGTACATACCGCCAGGTTAGTCTAGAGTAAACCTCGTCAAGGACATTGTACATACCGCCAGGTTAGTCTAAAGTAAACCTCGTCAAGGACATTGTACATACAGCCAGGTTAGTCTAGAGTAAACCTCGTCAAGGACATTGTACATACCGCCAGGTTAGTCTAAAGTAAACCTCGTCAAGGACATTGTACATACCGCCAGGTTAGTCTAGAGTAAACCTCGTCAAGGACATTGTACATACCGCCAGGTACAACAAAAAAAACATATCGCCAGGTTAGCAGTAGTTGTTTAATGTTTTTCTCACTTTTACTTTTATTTTACAGCAAGAGTCAGCTTACCACTATATATGTGGTATGTATAAATAATAAATATGATATTAAGACTGCGAGACCCAGATGTTCTGATGGTTAAAATTTGCAGATCTGTGAAAGATACGTATTTGGAGTCAAAAGCAAAACCAGAAGTGTTCTTATCGACCTCGGAATCATTGTCTGATCTCATAGCTGTTATGGAGGACTTGATAGGAAGTACTAAGTTACATCTTAACGAGTCAATACCCCTCGGTTAGTGAACCTCTATATCCAGATACCCTTATACAATGCACGGGGGGGGGGGGGTCTCTACACTTTTATACAATGCTATCATGTGTTCTCCCCATTACTACTTCCCACTACGACGATACTCTACTACCCTGACTAAACCCTTCTCTCCTCTAAACTGTACTCTCTCAGGTACTGCTGTAGGCACTGTGGGTAACAGATGTGAAGTTCATGTTCTGGTGAAGGGACTTGTGGACCCTGTTCAGGAGATTAACAGGTTCACTTCTTACTGATAATTATTATAGTGTCTACTAATCACTTACTAATCACTTACTAATCACTTACTAATCACTTATTAATCACTTACCAATCACTTGTTGATCACTTACTAATCACGTATTAATCACTTACCAATCACTTGTTGATAACTTACTAATCACTTACTAATCACTTACTAATCACTTACTAATCACCTATTAATCACTTAATAATCACTGACTAATCACTTACTAATCGCCTATTAATCACTTACTAATCACTTACGAATCACTGATAGCTTATTACTAATTTTTAAGTACGATTGAGATTTAGAAAATAATTTCACTTTGCTCATGATTGTCCCATTCCTGATGTAGTGATAGTTGTTTGGATCATTCTGAATTCTAATCTTCATCTCTTTCACAAGTTGTTCATGTGCAGTTCGTTCTTCGCATGTTCTATCGGGACTAATGTACACGTTTTTGAAGTTGCCTGACTCTTTCAGTTTTCTAGCTTGGCTCAAAACCATTTGAACAGAATCAGAACTTCTGACGACAACTTTGACCGGCCTGTTGCTCGAACCTTCTGAAAAAGTTCCTAATCTAACACAGTCCTGTGTACACGGTTTTTGGCCAATAGAGACCATCAACTCGTTGATCTTTGCTGAAAGATCTTCTTCTTTCTCATCATGAAGTCCGAATACCATAATGTTTTTACCTTTGTCCTCCTCCTTCACTACTGTCTTAACTCTTAACCTCTTTTGTGAGCTTCTCTTGGGTGACAACTGATTCAATGCAGCTTTTCTTAGCTATGTCGCAATTACGTTTCATCTCCGACTGAACCGTTGAAGTTACTGTCTCAAGCTGGTCAGTTTTGTTCGTGATGACTTTCTCTTTCTCTTTCTCTTGCAGTTTTATGCAGTATCTTTATCTCTGATCGCGGCACTTTGAAGCTTTACGATAGTACTGTTGGCGACCTTAAGCAATTCATTCGAAAATTTGAAGCTTTTCGCAATTTCGTGTATCCATTTTTATAAAGATCAGCGATAAGAGAGCTCAAAATGAGTAACAAAAGCGATAACAACTAAACAACAACACTTTTAAGTACCACATTTGGGGTACAAAATCATCAATTAAACCGAAAAAACCAGTCCCATAACTCTTACCGTTTTCTTGATTAAGCCGTTCGGAAATTACAAACACACACACACACACACACACACACACACACACACCCCCCCACCCACACCCACACCCACACCCACGTCCCACACCCACACCCACAGATTTGTTGGGATTATTGCTATAGATCCTTATCCTCCCTTTTCCAGACTGCAAACTAAACGTGAAGGTGTAGAGAAGTTCGTGCAGCAGACGAAGGAAACAATAGACAAACACACGGACAAGGTTCCGGAACACGTGCGACAAGCTAACTGCAATAAACTCGGTTCTTTGCAAGACGAGCTGGTTACCATAGACACAGCTATCGCTAACTTCAGGAAACTCACTGATAATTAGGAGTTTTCAGTTTTAATTTAGGAGTTAGATCTGTTCATATTCATCATCCGACACATCGTTTAATATTTAAAAGGGGATGTTTTTCCGCTGACTTTAATTTATGTGATTTTCCTGTTTTTACGGAAATATTTGAGATAATGAAGAGATTAATGAAATATATAGTGTTTTATTTGGTGACAAGTAATTTAAGTCTTTGCTTCAAATTTAGTTAATTGTATTTAAACAACGTTATTTTCCTTATAACTGAAATCTGAGAAGCAAGACCGTGCGTCTTTCACATATTTTCATCGCGCGTGTGTTCGCCTACCACCTTGTTCATTGTTATAGTAGGCATATGTGGAAGGAATTAATTTAATGTAGTTTAAGGAGTCCTCACTTTCCTCACGTCCAAAAAGGCTAAAGTGTAGTGTCAAATTGTCTCAAAAAGTGTAAAAAAGTGACATTTCTTTTCCCATCAAAGGTATGTCTTACATTTGGAAATGTACTCTGTGAAGACTTATTGGATAAATAAGAAAAAAGAAGATTTTTAGAAGATAGTTTTGTTTAACGTAATTATAAGTGTAAAAAAGTGTACGGTTTTACTACACTTCTTACTACACCATACCAGGGACAAAAGGATTTCGCGATTATTTTGGCCAAAAATCGCGGTACCGCGAAATTTAACAGGCTATACATTAAACTATACATAAAATTTGTCGCGGAGAATGGGAAATTTCGTGATTTCGTACATGCCGCGAAATCCTTTTGTCCCTGTACTGCACCATACACCAAAAAAGGCAAAAGTGTAATGTAAAAAAGTGTAGCAGACCACCCCCCCCCCTCCCCCCCCCCCCCCCCCCCCCCCCGTTGTAGTTGGCTGAGAGCCCGGTATCAAGAGGAGCTGTAAATGAGGACATTGGTTACGCCCTATAAGTATTATGCTCACTGTACACTCCCTTTGCTCGTCTTTTCTGTCTGTGTGCTGAAACACGTGGTTGTCAAAACAACATGAAAACTTATCCTTTAAAATCGTCCTTCCATTTCCACCTATATTTTACCAGCGTACTAAATCATTGTCATACGTTGTATGACCCGCCGCGCACGAAGTGCGCGGCTCCTTCTGTAGCGTCGAAGACGCTATAGTGAAAACGACACTATAGTGAAACGACCGTGGGGGTCACCACGTGATACAACTAAATCACTCTACAGTCGATCTTCGAGATTGTTCTAAAAGTGCCCCCGGCAGTTGAAACCAATTTCAATCAATGTATTTTCGGACGCTGATTCCGAATCATACGTTGTATGACCCGCCGCGCACGAGTGCGCGGCCCCCTGTATCGTCACAGTGAAACTTAATTGACGATGTCAATTCATGGCAGCTCGGCGCGGCACAGTAGCCGATCTCGCCGATCTAGTCGTTGTGAGAAGCCTTATTGAGTGCGCGGCGCGGCACAGTAACGCATCGCGCTACAAAATGAAACGACCGTGGGGCCGGTCGCAACGTGATACAATATTTTATTTAAAGTAGAGGCACTCTTCAGTGTACTTTTGAGTTGTATATCACGTGGTGACCCCCACTGTCGCTTCACTATAGTAGAGTTTCGACGATACAGGGGGAGCCGCGCACTCGTGCGCGGCGTGTCATACAACGTATGACAACGTTTGAGCATCTGCGGTCTGCCGTTTGCGCTTACTGTCGCTGTTGATCCCAGGCAAGTAGATGTCCTTGAGTTGTTCAAAGTTGGCCTCAGGATGAAGCTGATAAAGTCCCTGTCGTTAGAAGATAAGGGGAAGAGGCCGTGGTAGTTCCAGTAGCTTGGTAGCTATATAAGAACTACTATTACTATTGACGGATGTTACTCGTCTAAATTTCTTCGGAGTAGCGCGCGCCGCTTTCTTTCTAGCACGAGCTACGAAGTAGCGCGCGCCGGGCCAGATCATTAACAATGGTCAACTACTACTACTACTAGTACTATTTGGTCGCTAGGAAGACGAGGATTAGGAGGAGTACGATACCAGTCCTGCGTATGGTAAAAGTTAATAACTATTATCAGAGGAACTATAAGCTTTTTTGTGTTCTGTAAATATTGTTATTTTATAATACTAATAGTTTAATGGGCATACGACGCTTTTTGTCATCGAATGCAGAATGAAATGTTTTCTTACTTTATCAATTTTATAAAACAGGTTGACTGGTTAAGCATGCAATTTACTTTTGGCCTATTATTCAAACGCGCAAGCGGGCGCATTTTTGCGATTTTATAATCCAATAATCAGATTTTACAACCTAACACAGCGCGCGGCTTTTGTACTCACTTCACAGGGGGAGCTGAAACCAGGTTTTCGATCAACCGCTGCCATGTGTAGTCAAACGTCGCCAAAAGTTGCTCTTGTCCAATGAAATCGCTGCATTTTGCAAGGCAAGCTCCGCATATGAATATATGTAATTCAATTATGCATACTGACTTGCAAAATGCAGCGATTTCATTGGACGAGAGCACCTGTTGGCGACGTTTAACTACAAATGGCAGCATTTGATCGAAATCCTGGTTTCAGCCCCCCCAGTGACTTGTAGCATTTGTAGCGCGATGCACTACTGGGTCGCGCCGCGCATCAAATAATTCTTCTCGCAACCACAGATCGGCGAGATGCGAAGGATTGACATCGTGAATCAATTGTAGCACTTCTTTCAAATTTAATTGGTAGTTATGAGTTAGCGTTTACGTGATTTGTTTCGAGTCCGCATTTGATTATAAACGATTATGCGAATGCTGGTCACGCGCGCAGTAACTTCCAATGAGCATCCGAATTTGATTCACGATGTCAATCCTTCGCAGCTCAGTGAGGAACAGTGGTGCATCTTGCCGATCTACCGTGGTTGCGAGAAGGATTATTTAATGCGCGGGGCGACCCAGTAGTGCATCGCGCTACAACATCCGAATTTTTTTCAGTGTGACGAAAGTTGTAATTCACTCAGCCCGAATAAAGATTTGATACCTCAAATTTGGTATTGTATAAAAGCTCAAAGTCTTGATTCTCAAGAAATCGATGGTACAAAATGTTTGAAAATCCGAGCAAGTTCAATTTTTTTGAACATTGAAACAAATTTAGAATCCTTTACTTTACAATCATAATATAATAATATTTATAAGCCTTCGTTTTGAAAGTTTTAAATTTTAATATATTTACATTTCTATTTAAAATTCAATTTCATGTATAAGTCAATAACTGGCCGCCAAAGCCGCGCATTCATGAAAACAGGATTAATATACTATATATAACTTGTTTATAGTTATAGTTGTACGACAAATAGAAATAAATTTTAAATTATCCGTGTTTTTAAATAAATTATAGTTTTACCTAAATCCTAAGTAAACGCTTCACAAATTAAAATACTTACAACATGCAAAATCTAAAACCATCAACACGGTTAATTAATATTATGGACAGTGAAACAATTTTACCGTGTACCTCCTATTCAAATCTGTGTAGCAGATAATTATAACTTAAGGATCTATACTCTCTTCCGAAAGTTTCTTGGTTAACAGTTAAAGTTGTGTAGGTTTACAACCTACCAGGACGCGCGCCGAGTTGGACTCGTCGATGGTCCAATATATGGAACAGATATTTTACGAGTATCACCCGTTAATTAAAGTTCAAATGATGGAGTAGTTCGCTGTTTATTAGTCTCATGATTGATATACTGATTAGATAGTTGGATAACATCCGGTTTCAAGAGCAAAGAGACAAGGACAACGCCATATGTTGGCTAAAATTGGTAAAAAATATTAGTATTAAATTATAAATGGTTCTACATTAAAACTACTAGTTATAATGTCGAATCAAAATCACACACACTGAATACTGTTATTACATAAAATGGTGATGTCCACACGTTTTAAATTCTGTCCAATTACATACTATTTACCGAACATGAGGGTGAAATTAAGTTTGTCTCTGAATATGTTGTAAAAGAAATCCCTTCTCACATTCTTCCTTATTATTGATACTGGGTTTAAAGTTCTACAGAAAGAAGCAGAAAAAGAAGCAGAAAAAGAAGATCACACTTCACGCTAACAGCCACCATATTGAGAGAACAAAAATAGCCACCATCAAGAACTTCTACAAAACGGCTGCTCATTGCTCATCAACACCAGAGTATAAAGAAGAGTCCATGAAGATAGTAGACAACTTGTTGGTCAATAACGGTTACCAAGACCCACGACGTATAAACCAAACAGGACGACTTCAACCTTTTTCACCTACAACACGACACAACCCATTATCATCGCACATACAAGATACCAACCACGTGACATGCACCTTACCATTTAATCAACAAGCCATTTTCCAAAGAAGTCACTCAATTAGCCCTCTCACACAACTTACCTGTCAAATTCATATTCACACCAGGTAAGAAACTCTCAGATATTTTATGCTCATTAAGACCACACGACCAACCGCACTGCACCATACCAAACTGTGTCATATGTCCACTCATCACAACAAATCACAACTGCAAACCTAAATGTGTAATATACAAAGTCATGTGTAAATTATGTCAAGAGCTATACATAGGGGAAACGAGTAGAATAGCACACGATAGATTTTCAGAACATCGAAGAGCAGTCAACAGGCCTTTAACCTATCCTGATAATGCATTGGCTGTTCATTATTTAGAATTTCATACAAACTTAGATTCAGACATTTCTTTCTATATTTTAGAAATTAACTTATATAATAGCACCATTAAAAGAAAAGTGACTGAAGTGTACTATATTAATTCATTTAAACCCAGTATCAATAATAAGGAAGAATGTGAGAAGCTTAAGGGATTTATTTTACAACATATCAACAGTTAAAGTGACTATTTAAAGTAAACGCAATTTTGTTAAATAATTACAAATCAATTTAATATTTTAAGGAAGCATAATACATAATATAGCTGTCACTGCACTCTTTATTTATTGTATACAAGAAAACAACAAATTTCAAGAAAACAACAATTTTTTTATTTAAATCAATTATAGCAACAATTTGAAAAAGTTCAAAGTTTAGTTCCAGTGCGTCTTAATATATAAATTGACAGGGCAAAGGGAAGTGCATGCTGTGCGCCATTGCTCACACCAAATGCGGGCAACCTAGCAAAAGCTCTTGATTCGTGGGTCTTGCATTAACAGAGATTAGATTATAAAAATCATGTATTACTATTTTAATGTGCTATTTGACCCTTAGATAGAATTCTTGTTACAAACTTATTAAAACTAGAAATACTGAGATAATAAATCAGTGGATTAGAGGAGAAGTTTATGTAATTAATGTACACAGCGACTGTGTTAAAACCTGCCAAGAATTCAGCATTAATTCGCTTAAAATGGTCACTTGAAAATGACATGATGCAATTGTGAACACTGTTAGGTGCCCAGGACACGATGAAGACGATAGAAATGAATACCAAAGTCATCGAGCCCTGAGCATTCAATCCTCTTGCTTTTTGGACAAACCTTAATAACCAAAGAGTAGTGAGGACAATGGATATAACTGGTAATATCAAATATACAGCAGTTACCAGCTCTTTGATGGAATGATACTCTGCAATCTCCAAACAGTGCATTATGTTCCTTCTAAAGGTTGCCGTCCACTTCGTCAGCACTCCACAAAAAACTGTTGAAATGACAGCAAATACCCAGACACAAACTGCTATAACATGTCCATCTTTTTTCGATTTCAGTCTAGACTTTAGGGGGAACTTTAAAGCCATAGTCTTGTTTAGGTTCAGGGCACAGATCAGTAATAAGGAAACAATAGATGTGGTGTAGGTGGTAACCATTGTTTGAGCGCACATGAATCTACCCAGGACCCAGTACTTTAAGACCAGCCCTGGAATGGACATGATGGATCTGGGGACCAGGTAAATCATGTCAGCTACAGCAAGATGGCGAATCAGAATCACTGATACTCTGTCAAGGTTTATAGCTTGGTATTTGATGGAGGAAACAAGGACTAGGGTATTTCCAGAAAGGGAGAGGAGTAAATTTAGGACATTCCAGAAGACCAGGAAGTATCTCATTGCATCTGTTGGGTCATGAGAGTACACAAACTCTACGGCTGTGAGGGTGGTTTTATTGTTCACCATGCTGTTAGACCAATGCAAATGTAGCAAAAATATAATATGTCTACAATATACACTATCAAAAACGAGAGAAGTAATCTTGATGCTATGGCCACGATTTTAGATGAAGCAGTGGGCCGGTTTTTGCAGACACAGGTGTCTAATCACAGAACTACAAGGCAGCTGTTCAACACTGCACAATCATGTTGCTATGGCCACGATTTTAAACGAAGCAGTGGGCTGTTTTTTTGCAGAAACAGGTGTTTGATATAGACCTATAAGGCATATGCTGAACACTACACAATTAAAGGAATGATCAATTTAGTCCTTCAGTGTAGAGTGCACTTAATACCAATAAAAATTAATAGAATTTCTCTGCAAGTAGTAACACTAGGATTCAAAATATAGAACTTAACTTATATTATATCTACTGTCATTAAATATAGTGGTAGACTAAATTGCACTTCGTCTGACCACAAGATAGCACCTGCTTCCTCCACTTGTATTCAGCCACTCACAATAGCTTTGGTACCTTGTAATCATTCACTCAAACAAAAAAGGTAACACTGATATTATATACATGATGGAAAAAAAAGAGGTAAAAAGGTAGGTCATTAGTCTTTGGCTACAAAAAAACATATATTGTATAACTATAAATACTTAATTCTACCAACCACTACATACTAAATGACTTATTTATATTTATATATGTTTATAAATGACTTGCTAGAACCCTAAACCTCAGCCAATTGAGAAGCACCTGTTGATAGAAATATTGTGCTGTATTTAGTGAATCGCATCAATGTATTAATTACATTTATTAAATGTGTACAGTCCTAAAGATAGTGCCAGATATGGTCTATTCAGTGTTCAATTTGGGAATACAGTGCGCCAATCCAGTTATTACTAGACTATTTAGGTCTTCTGTTGGTAAGATATTTAAACTTTCAATGTTGAACAAAATATAACTTACTTTCAACTTAAGGATGATATTGTGAAATGGACGAGTTACCAAGCTTGTTACAATCACATCAACCCCTTGCAGTAAGAAAGGGAGCTGCTGAACTTATTTTAGGTTAGTGACACTTTTTAGTGACAATTCATTGTATGGAACGTTTAATTTGTCACAGCATGTTACATTTAGGATCAATTTGATTAGAACAATGTAAATTAATAACCTCAGGACTAACGAACGATGCATCATCTCTTCTCCTCATCACCGGAAACAAAGAACTTATAAACTCACTGTGGGATGCTCTGGGGGACAAGGACAGGAAACTGTCAGTAACCTCATCTCAGATTCTTGTGAATATAACCTCACACAGTGTCCAGGCACTAACAGCACAGGACACAGTGCCCCGGGTACTTCAGATTCTTCAGCATGCTAACACTGTGCATCTTTATAACAGCATGGCTATGATTCTCAATAACATCTCAAGGTCTCCTGAAGAAGCTGATATATTTACTACGGTGCTCACTCTGGCAGATTGCCAAATGTTTGTGAAGCTGGTGTCACGTCACCAAGAGCAGGGCTATCTAGCCGCTGTGTTGGGGAACATAGCAGTAACACCAGTGGGTAGAGAGCACCTCTCCCATGAGTCTGTGTTCCCTGAGATCATATCATTCCTAACAATGCCCGGTAACATCATAGTGAGACGTAACACTGCGCGCCTTCTCAGGAACCTCTCATTCGATACTAAAACACACACAGCACTAGTGGAGTATTTACCACAGATAGTGTACCCTTTAGTGGGTGGTGAAGAGATAGATGAGGAGGACATGGACAAGTTACCAATAGATTTACAGTATCTCCCTGAAGATAAGTGTAGGGAGCCGGACCTTCAAACCAGGACCTACCTCTCTGATACACTGTTCCAAATGGGGGGCACATACTCAGTGAGAGAGAAATATAGAGATGAGAACTACTATGAGTTACTAAAAAACTACGATCAATGGGAAGAGGACGATGACGCAAGGGAACGTATACAGAATACTATATACCTGATAGTACAGAACGATGGAGAGGTAGATCTGAGGAAGGATGGGGATGTTCCTGAGGGGGTGGAGGAGGCGGAGGAGGTCGTTATTGTTAAGAGGGATGAAAGTGAGAAGACGTCTTCAGAGAATATGGGTAGTTGATGTTATTTTAGGGGGTTACTGATTGTTTAATTGTCTCTGTGCTTGCTTTGTGTGTTAACTTATTAACCTAAGGATCTAACATTGTTGTTTATCGTCTGGTTCATCGACATTGGCACAATTGTTGTAAGAAACATTTTATTGGTGCCAAGTGTACAGAAATTTAATGATCATAATGACAAATCACTAGATCTTGAGCCACCGATTGATCAAGGTTTTTTAGAGTTTTGTCAGCTGATAAATGTTATTGTGATTAGGCTTAAATGACACCTAAAAGCTTTGAAGAGGAGAGTTTGCTGGCCGGTGATGAAAGGAACGAGACAAAAAGAGCAATGCTCATTTTAGAAGATGGGACAACATACAGTGGCATATCATTTGGAGCTGACTTCAACGCTTCCACCAGCGGAGAGGTTCCAATTTTATAATGTCAAATATTCTATAATTATTCACTCTTGTACTAGCAGATAATATAATATGGCCTTAATATGTTCTCTGGATATGGTTGTTCCCTAGCTTTTTCTCTAGATGATGTGTATTTTGCTTATTATTCAGGTGGTATTCCAAACTGGTATGGTGGGGTATATAGAGTCACTTACTGATCCTAGCTACGACTCTCAAATACTGGTCCTAACCTACCCACTGATTGGAAACTACGGAGTACCTGAACTAGCTGCTGATGAGTTTAATCTTCCCAAGTTCTTTGAATCAGATAAAATACACGCGTCTGGTAAGTGAAATGTTAAATGGTGGTGAAGTTTTTGATACTGTTAAGTTACAATAAGACATGTTAAACTTTTCAACAGTGGAATTGAATCATCATATTGGATTTGTTGAAAGTTTAATGTTATATCACTCTCAGTCCTTGTATAATATAATGTGCAGGTTTGATTGTAGCAAACTACAGTGATGAAGCAAGCCATTGGGCCTCTGTGAGAACCCTGTCTGATTGGCTTAAAGATCAGAACATTCCAGCTATTACTGGTAGGTACTTGTTACCATGGTAACGCACGTGTTAAGAATTTGAGTGGATTAGTACAAGCTAACACGCGACAATGTGAAGTTTGCTAAAATGAATTAATATGAATAATTAATACCACTATTATATTCATTGAATATAATAGTGGTAGCTCACGAGCTCAGTTATCAATATTTTATAAAAGTGAACAAGTGTATTTTATACTGTTCCATGTGATTATTGTAGAGGTGATTACAATGATATAGAGTTAACTTGACTACATCCTAGTGTAATCAAGTTTAGTGTGTCTGTGATAGCGTTACCCTCCACAGGTATCGACACGAGGAGTCTCACTAAGAAGATAAGAGAGCACGGTACAATGCTTGGCAAGATAATAACAGGAGATACTGATCCGGATACTATAGAGTTTGTGAACCCGGACCTGCAGAACCTGGTCACACGGGTCTCCTGTCCTACTGTCAAGAACTACAACAGAGGTTAGTAGTGTGTTATATCACGTGTTATATCACGTGTTATATCACGTGTGTTACCACGTGTGTTACCACGTGTGTTTCCATGGTAACAACTACAACAGAGGTTTCAGATGTTAATAGGAGTTGCGGCTTCGTAAATATCTATCAAAGTATTATTTAAAAATTTATTATTCCATGATTGCATTCTATAGTTCAAAAAGGTCTTCGTTCAGTTTTCAAAACATTAAATCGTGATAATATGAGTTTGACAGTGACTCTGCCCCACAGAAGGCGATGTTAACATCTTGTGTATTGACTGTGGGATAAAGAACTCCCAGATCCGATGTCTTGCTGAGAGGGGCGCTTGTGTTACTGTTGTCCCCTGGAACATGGACTTCTCCGTCATTCTCTCCAAGTTTGATGGCTTGTTTATCAGTAACGGTCCCGGTAATCCCGAACACTGCTCCGTTCTCATTGAAAGGTTGGTTTTAGGAATGATGTTATCTTTAAACTTCCTGTTGTATCTTCTTTAGTATAGTAGTTAAGCTGGTTTAAGGTTTAAAGTTTAAACTCATTTATAAAGGGTTTATATACATTTCCAAATTCATAAAACCTCATTATTTAACCTTGTCAAAGTAAAACATTATTTCCCTCCCTATCTCTCACTCCCCCTCCCTATCTCTCACTCCCCCTCCCTATCTCTCACTCCCCCTCCCTATCTCTCACTCCCCTCCCTATATCTCACTCCCCCTCCCTATCTCTCACTCCCCCTCCCTATCTCCCCCTCCGGCCTCTCTATCTCTCACTCCCCCTCCCTATCTCTCACTCCCCCTCCCTATCTCCCCCTCCGGCCTCTCTATCTCTCACTCCCCCTCCCTATCTCTCACTCCCCCTCCCTATCTCTCACTCCCCCTCCCTGTCTCTCACTCCCCCTCCCTATCTCTCACTCCCCCTCCCTATCTCTCACTCCCCATCCCTCAGACTCACTGAGATCCTGTCTCACGACACAGTGCTCCCCACATTTGGTATTTGCATGGGTTCCCAGTTAGTAGGCATGGCTCTGGGTTGTACGCTTTACAAGCTAAAGTACGGTAACAGAGGCCACAATCAGCCGTGTACCCACGTGGAGACCAAGCGGTGCTTTATAACTAGTCAGAACCACGGCTTCGCTCTCGATACTTCCTCGCTTAACGATGGTAATGTTTAATATGATACATTTTCATTATTATTATTCCGAATTGAACTGGTTCGCAGTTATAAGGTGACCAATTTGCACTGACTGTATGATGTTGCAGTTACAACTAACAAGCTCTATTTCTCTCAGATGTAGAAGAGTTGTTTGTTAACGAGAATGATAAAACAAATGAAGGTCTGATCCACAACACCCGACCTATAATGACAGTTCAGTTCCACCCGGAAGCTATGGCAGGTCCTTCAGATACTAACTTTCTCTTCGACGTCTTCCTCGACCATGTCAAGCAGACTAAGATAGGTAAATTATGCGCATAATATTGTGAATATCTTGTTATAATGTGCACAATGTTTTGATTTCTTTGTGACGCAACTCTTATTTAATAAGTCAACGAAACGACGTGTAGGTCTAATATTACAGTAGATTCATAATATATAGATGGTACATGGTAACTCCATCCACCAGGGCAAGTAACGATGACACTGAAGGAGCGTCTAACCCACAAACTGCTACAAAAGAAAGGGCTCTGTCCCCGCAACACTCCAATAATACAGGCCCCTTACAAGGTCCTCATACTAGGATCAGGGGGCCTCTCTATTGGACAGGCTGGCGAGTTCGACTACTCTGGCTCACAGGTTAGACCTATCTTTCTCTTTCTCTTTCACTTTCAGTTTCTATTTATTTTCTATTTCAGTTTCACTTTTCTTCTCGTATCTTACTTTCTCTATAACAAATTCAATGATATTAATATTACTACAATTGCCGTCAATCGAAAGGCAAAGTACCTAAAATACCTGCGAGTACTTTGCGTCGCCATTAGTGTTACTGTAATGTATAACATAATAACTGTACAGGCTATAAAAGCACTAAAGGAGGAAGGAATGCAGACAGTACTGATCAACCCTAACGTAGCCACGGTACAAACTAGCAAAGGACTAGCTGACAGGGTCTACTTCCTACCCATCACTATCGACTATGTTAAACAGGTAACTTATTTAAACAGGTGATTACTTCATTAACTAACAAGTAATTAACTTATTTAAAGAGGTAATTTATTTAACTAACTAAAACCGAAATTAGATTAATTATTTTACCAGGAAGGAGCTGTAGTTAGTCGAAATCATCATCATACATCCTGAAAATAGCATAGTTTAAATCAGTGTTTTAATTCATGACTTTATGTATGAATTTGTTTCTGTGACTCTAAAATTGTTAGTACTTCTTGTAAAGTTGAATTATCAGTATTTATCGGAGATAACGAAAAGGAATTATCTAAATACTGTACAGGTGATAGAATCAGAGCGCCCAGATGGAATACTCCTCTCTTTTGGGGGCCAGACTGCTCTGAACTGCGGAGTTGAGCTCTTCAGGGACGGGGTGCTCGAAACTTATAATGTTAAAGTCCTAGGTCGGTGCTTTTATTTATTTGTTAATAGTAAAAGATAATCCTACAGGGCCACTAATATGATATGACGTATTAAAGGCCATTCTAAAACCCCTCTCACCGGCACCCCATTATAATCAGGTTCAGTAGAAAATGTCAGTATACACTTATAAAGTATTTATACTGTTGTTTCTAACCATGTTCCTTTTTTGTAGGCTAGAGATGTAATTTTATTTACGAAGATATCACCTACTTGATGCTGTTTCATTGCTTATCCAATTTAACAGCTTTTAGTATAAAGTATAAGTTATTACAACCCTGTACTGTCCAACAGGCACACCAATACCAAGTATAATAGCTACAGAGGACAGGAGGGAGTTCGCAATAAGGTTATCTGAAATTGGAGAGAAAGTTGCTCCCAGTGACACGGCTACTAACCTACAGGATGTACGTTATTTAACTTAGGGGGGGGGGGGGGGGGGCTCATTATCAGCATTCTGGCAACATTGTCAGCATTCTGGCAACATTGTCAGCATTCTGGCAACAGTTTCAGAATTCTGGAAAGTATTTGGGGATACTTTTACAAAGTTGGTAATATTAATTCTAAAACAAACCAATGCACCAGTTTCTTCACACACCTCTAGGATTGATTATCCTGTATCTCAGGTGCTGAGTATCGGTAACAAGCTAGGGTTCCCAGTGTTGGTCCGCACTGCCTTCGCTCTGGGAGGGATGGGGAGCGGGTTTGCGAGTGACGAGACCGAACTAGCAGCCCTGGTCAAGTCTCCTCTAGCTAGCGGCAGTCAGGTGATAGTAGATAAGAGTCTGAAGGGGTGGAAGGAGGTTGAGTACGAGGTGGTCAGGGACGCGTACGATAACTGTATAGTTGTGTGCAACATGGAGAATGTGGACCCTCTCGGTTAGTAAATAATTAATTTACATACTTTTACATAGTATTCCTTATATTCTTACACTTCGCTAGTAAAGTTATAGTATTAATTATTCATATTAATTATTCATCATTGAAAAGGATTGTATGATGCTGTCGTCATAACGAATCTACATCGCTTGTTTGTACCGCCCCAAGCAAGCCCCTACAAACAATATATTATGTAGTTAGCTCTTTAGCTGTCCAGAGATGTAAACCTCATTATATTATGTAGTTAGCTGGAGAGATGTAAACCTCATTATATTATGTAGTTAGCTGGAGAGATGTAAACCTCATTATATTGTGTAGTTAGCTGGAGAGATGTAAACCTCATTATATTGTGTAGTTAGCTGGAGAGATGTAAACCTCTTTATAATTGTGTAGTTAGCTGGAGAGATGTAAACCTCTTTATAATTGTGTAGTTAGCTGGAGAGATGTAAACCTCATTATATTATGTAGTTAGCTGGAGACATGTAAACCTCATTATATTATGTAGTTAGCTGGAGAGATGTAAACCACTTTATAATTGTGTAGTTAGCTGGAGAGATGTAAACCTCATTATAATTGTGTAGTTAGCTGGAGAGATGTAAACCTCTTTATAATTGTGTAGTTAGCTGGAGAGATGTAAACCTCATTATATTATGTAGTTAGCTGGAGAGATGTAAACCTCTTTATAATTGTGTAGTTAGCTGGAGAGATGTAAACCTCATTATATTATGTAGTTAGTTGGAGAGATGTAAACCTCTTTATAATTGTGTAGTTAGCTGGAGAGATGTAAACCTCATTATATTATGTAGTTAGCTGGAGAGATGTAAACCTCATTATAATTGTGTAGTTAGCTGGAGAGATGTAAACCTCTTTATAATTGTGTAGTTAGCTGGAGAGATGTAAACCTCTTTATAATTGTGTAGTTAGCTGGAGAGATGTAAACCTCATTATATTATGTAGTTAGTTGGAGAGATGTAAACCTCTTTATAATTGTGTAGTTAGCTGGAGAGATGTAAACCTCATTATATTGTGTAGTTAGCTGGAGAGATGTAAACCTCTTTATAATTGTGTAGTTAGCTGGAGAGATGTAAACCTCTTTATAATTGTGTAGTTAGCTGGAGAGATGTAAACCTCTTTATAATTGTGTAGTTAGCTGGAGAGATGTAAACCTCATTATATTATGTAGTTAGCTGGAGAGATGTAAACCTCATTATATTATGTAGTTAGCTGGAGAGATGTAAACCTCATTATATTATGTAGTTAGCTGGAGAGATGTAAACCTCATTATATTATGTAGTTAGCTGGAGAGATGTAAACCTCATTATATTATGTAGTTAGCTGGAGAGATGTAAACCTCTTTATAATTGTGTAGTTAGCTGGAGAGATGTAAACCTCATTATATTATGTAGTTAGCTGGAGAGATGTAAACCTCATTATATTATGTAGTTAGCTGGAGAGATGTAAACCTCATTATATTATGTAGTTAGCTGGAGAGATGTAAACCTCATTATATTATGTAGTTAGCTGGAGAGATGTAAACCTCATTATAATTGTGTAGTTAGCTGGAGAGATGTAAACCTCTTTATATTGTGTAGTTAGCTGGAGAGATGTAAACCTCATTATATTGTGTAGTTAGCTGGAGAGATGTAAACCTCATTATATTGTGTAGTTAGCTGGAGAGATGTAAACCTCATTATATTATGTAGTTAGCTGGAGAGATGTAAACCTCTTTACCACCTCCCCAGGTATTCACACCGGAGAGAGTATAGTAGTGGCTCCCTCCCAGACTCTCACTAACATTGAGTACAACATGTTACGTACTGTGGCTATTAAAGTGGTCAGACATCTGGGCGTAGTCGGAGAGTGCAACATTCAGTACGCTCTCAATCCTCAGTCACAACAGGTAATATACCCTGACCCTGACCCTGACCCTGACCCTGACCCTGACCCTGACCCTGACCCTGACCCTGACCCTGACCCTGACCCTGACCCTGACCCTGACCATGACCCTGACCCTGACCCTGACCCTGACCCTGACCCTGACCCTGACCCTGACCCTGACCATGACCCTGACCCTGACCCTGACCCTGACCCTGACCCTGACCCTGACCCTGACCCTGACCCTGACCCTGACCCTGACCCTGACCCTGACCCTGACCCTGACCCTGACCCTGATATCTCTAACTCTTCACCAACTTCAGTACTACATCATAGAAGTGAACGCTCGTCTATCACGGAGTTCAGCTCTGGCCAGTAAAGCTACAGGATACCCGCTAGCTTACATCGCTGCTAAGCTCGCTCTTTTGTACCCACTTCCTGACCTCAAAAACAAGGTTAGACATCTGGAGGGGAGGGGTATTAAAATGTAGATCCTACAGGATTTTATTTAAGATTTTAAAACTATTAGAATAAATATTTCACTAAAGTGAAGAGCACGAGAATGTTTCAGTTTAAACTAACAAATAACTACACCTCATGTAACTAACAAATAACTACACCTCAGGTAACTAACAAGACTACAGCTTGTTTTGAGCCCAGTCTGGACTACTGTGTGGTTAAAATACCTCGCTGGGATCTGGGCAAATTCCATCACGTTAGCAAGAAGGTAACTAGTAGTGTAACTATGGTAACGCATATTTTATACATTTTATTTTGAATTAGCTTACTAACTAATCTATCAATTCAGGCTGATTTAAACTGTCTTGTTTTGTAGTGTAAGTAATGTGATATAACCCCCCAGATCGGCAGCTCAATGAAGAGTGTAGGAGAGGTCATGTCAATAGGGCGCACATTTGAGGAAGCACTACAGAAAGCTCTGAGAATGGTGGAGAGCTCTACTCTCGGGTTCTACGGGGACAACCGTGTAGTGAACGAGGAGGAACTGCGGAACCCATCAGATAAGCGTATCTTCATGATAGCCCAGGCTATTTCTAATGGATATAATGTTAACGAGCTGAACACTCTCACCAACATTGACCGCTGGTTCCTTATGAAGATGCAGAACATTATAGTACAGCAGCGCAACTTGGAGGTGAGTGTACTATTCTGTGGTTTTAGAGAAAGTCGATTCAACTTAAGTGTAGTTGTTGGGTGATCGCTTATTAAAGATATTTTAATGAAAACTTACGACAGGAAAGTTTAATTCTGGGAAGTCTGCAAGTTATTTAATTCTGCAAATTATAAGTTATTTCATTCTGCAAATTTATTTAATTCAATTGCTAACTTGTGAATATTTCAGAGCTACAGAAGCAGGTTGAACAATCTGCCTAGATCGTTACTCCTTACAGCAAAACAGTTGGGATTCAGTGACAAACAGATCGCTCATTTTGTAGGAAGTACTGGTGAGTTATAACTTTAAATAACACCTAATCTGGAGCTGAGGGAACTAAAAAACATTTAGCTTAGTTTAAGAAAATAAAATCAAACGGGTATCATCTCCAACTATCGACTGAATAGAGAATGAATTTATATCTGAACGGCTCCTTTTGATATTGGTCAAGTCATTCCTCTAGCTCTCTAGCCTTCTAGCACTCATTATTCTCTAGCTCTCACTTCAAACTCTAAAAACTAAGCTGAGTCTGCAAATCAGTATTGTGTCATACTAAGTCTGATATAATATGTTTATGAACCTTTATGATTCGGATAATATTATCATAAACAAAAACTTTGAGAAAGTGAGATTGGGAAAACAACTAATTGAGCACTATTTTAGCAGCCCTCGATACTAAAATAGCGACAATTCATTGTTTCCTCATTCCCCAAAATTTAAAAATAAAAGTTAATTTGAGAACAATACAAGTTCAGTAACTGTAACTGTAACAGAAAGTTTCCTACCTGGATGCGGCTCCCTCCTGTACCCCAGTGAGGCTGTGTCTTGTCCACTAAAGTAGATAATCCTCTTACTTCTCCTCCAGAATGGTTTCCACTTGTTATTGTTGTAGTAGTTACTAGTGCAAGTAGCATCAGATGGAGCTAGGTACAGCAGCACTGCTCCGTTAAAAGATACAGATATCTTGCTATATCTCCATTTTACAGTCCATGTAATCTGGGAGATGGATAGTAATGGAGTAGTGAAGGGTTTCCAATCTGAGCAAGAAGTTAACTTGAACTGCGGGGAAGGGTGAAACCTCACTTGTAAACCTCCTGCTGGTGAGGCATCAGAGTCTTTGAATTGGACATTTAAGCATTTAATATCATGTCGTTATTGCCCTCTGTAAAACTGGACTTTATTTGGAGAGCAGATGTCTCTAGATCGAAAGGAATGTCATGTCCCCGTGTGATCGTGGTCCAATCTAGGGAGAAAGTATAATATAGATAGTAGATACAAGCATTCTTTTTTAGTTTCTCTGTTTAGGCAATATTATGTTGGTAAAATTTAAATAAACCATGTCAGGTGTCTATTAACTTATTAAAACAAATCATCAAGAAATAACCTGTATTATTTACCTGTATTATTTACTGGTGAGGCATCACGGAGCACAACTACTATTCCTAGCAGTGTCATCCACAACGAATCCATGGAGCTACGCGTTTAGTTAGTGTCTCAACCACTGTGCTGTAGTAGTTCCAACCACTTCACCGACCAAAGATAATAAATGAAGTTTGTTGATCAGACTTGTTGTTCACTGATAGTTCTAACTCCCATGTGGTAGACTCTACCACTGGTAGAGCTACACAAAACAGTGGGTTTGTGAACCGTATCACATAACGTAGCAGTGGAGCCTCATGATGTTTACCTACGCCACTTTATTTTATATAATACTTTATTTGAATCTTGACTTCATCACCTGGTACCTGAAGTTGTGAAAAAATGTAGCGTCCGTAATAAGTAGTTAGTGGGATGGGGGAGGGGGGGGGGAGGGGGGGGGGGGGGGGGGGGGGGGAGGGTGCCGGGGGTACCTACCTTGGGGGGGGGGGGGGGGAGGGAGCTGGAGGGGGAGGTCATTCAGCCGAGTGGTGGGTTAAGGTTCATGGCTGGAACCTGCAACCTATCCAGTGCAGGATGTGTAAGCTGTCACTACTACACAGATCCTGTTTGATAATTCACAAACTCTCTGTTCCGTGTTTCTTTACCGTGTGGCAGTAGCATCGAAGAGCAGTTTATGAAAGAAGACAGAAGACTGGTAATATTTCATGTGATCACGTGACATTGTCAGGAGGATATTGTCTAGCTGGATACACTAAATAAAACAACTTAAATTATCTAAACATGCTACAAAGTATCTCCACAGTCTGTAACATTACATAACGTCTCGTGTTGTCGTACAACGTTACTACACTCAACGTTACTCTTTGGTTCGAAAAACGAGGATGACACTGATAAACGTGTTATCCCAAGTCTGGTGCCACACATCCCTCCTTCTGGGACTCATCGGTAACAGCTTTGTGATCTACTCAACAATCTACCACAAAGCCATCAAGTTGGGACAAGCTCTCAGTTTGGATCATACAGAACTTAGCTGTGTCGGATCTTATCACAAACAACATCCTTATCTTGATTCCTGTTATCATCTCTCTCTACGCAAACAATCTGTGGGTATTGGGTGATACGTTCTGCAAGATCATGTTTATCTACAAATATGTAGGGTGTGTGGTTAATGTTTTTCTGATAACACCCTGGCACTGAACAAGATCATGAGATGCTGTATCCTCTGCGGAATCTAGACTGTTCCAGAAGACAGCTATGGTCTGTAACAGTGAGCACTATAGTTGCGGCGATGGTGTTTCCGTTCTATTATTTCTATGGAGCGATAAATGGAGCGTATATTGGATCGTTGAATTCTCAACTACTCAATGTATGTGGTGGGACGAACCGAACCTCATTCGACAAAACATGGCATCTAACTTTTGAATTTGTCGTCTACAACTCTTCTTAACTGGCTTGCCTTGCCTGACTTTGTTTCTTATGAACACTTTCCTAGTGATCTATGCTGTTAAGAAAACTAACAGCTCCGTTAACAAGATGAATATCGTGATAGTAATTCTAGTTACCGCCACTTTCCTGGTCTCAGTGCTGCCCTACTTCATTAACACCATGCTACAAGGTGTTACATGGGATGACACTGACTACAACCTTGCGCCTCGTTACATTCATTATGTTCCTCTCTTTCTGGTCCAATCCTATCATATACTTCTCCACTAACAATCACTTTAGAACGTACGCTATTCAGTGTGTTCTTAGAAAGAGAGATATTGTGGAATCTTCGGGTCAGAGCAACACAACGAGGATATCTAAAACAGGAACTAGTAGTTGCAATGAAGCTCCTCTCTGAGCTCTTCTCAATTAGTCATGATACTGCGGAACTTACATCAACCATAAGTGAATCTAAATTTTGAATAGAATTTGAATTTACTGATATATCATTCTACACGTTAAACCTTCTTGAAGGGGAAAACCCCGATAAATCTTTAACTAAGATAATTTTATGAAATCTATATGTCGTTATACCTACTATTAAAATTATTAATATAAGATATAGCTTAATATATACCTAACTTAAGTTGTTTCTTTTTAAGATTACATAGATAGTACGAATATCATGCACTATCAATTATCATCATCCAGCAAATCTTCATAAAATACATCGATATCAATTCTTGTCTTTCACTTACTATTTTACTAATGAATCTACCTCCACGTGAATGTCTATTTATTTTAACTATATCGAACTGACTATAAATCGTTGTTTTAGAGTTCATCCTTTCATCACAATATTGCAGGCATCTAGTATGTTCTTCTTTTTAACACGAACGTTGAGACCATATGGGAAAACTGTATTTACTGCAACATACAAGCTTCTTCAATGTCTTCTCTTTCTTTCAATGTAGTATTATTAGGTAAGAGTTTAATCGGCATGATAGCCATGTTTTCAGTGCTATGAATTTTTAGTGAAGTGATCACGAAGTATTTTGCAGCCTCCACCACGTTTTATAGTAGATTTATGTTCGGCTTATTCTAGAAGCAATTGAATTGATCGTGTGCCCAATGTTGATATTTACCAATCTTTATGCAAGCATTTTATCAAGTAGATGCAATTCTTCGTTTGACATGGTCATGATCCATTACAAGTCAATGAGGAAAGTAGAGTTTGTAGTGCTATTAGTGTAGAAGTTGTCAAAGAAAGGCGGTTTAAGCATGTAACGCATGATTTTCTATCACATGGTACTATGTTAAAGGTTTCAAGAGATTCTGGATCATTTATACTCTGATGATCATCAAAAGATTGTTCCGACTTCATGTAGAAAAAAGATAGCTAGGCTATCATTGACCAAGCAGGGCGCAGAAACAGCCACAGTAGATCACTAAATATTAGTGCTTTTCATGCAACAAGTAAAACAAATCCTTTTATGTCATGTTTCCAGGGTTGGACTGGAATTTCCCGCTTAAAGAACCTCCATCACGTTACATTACATAATTTTCTGAAACATATATTTACATTTACAATAAATTTATGCAAATATCACAACATTACAATCAACAAAATAAATTTAATCGCAGAATCTCAAATGCAAATAATCGTAAATTAAACACACAAAAACAAATTAAACATGCAATAAATGAATATACGAATGCGCATCTTTTGTCAACTTACTCCTTCATAAAATTAATTTTAGACAAAAAATTTTAGACGGTAATATAATGGTTACTAATTTGTAAGTCACAAATAATAAATCAATACAAATTAATCACAAATACTAGAATAATTAATAGATATAGGTAACTTATATAACTGAAAAAACGATATATGTCGATACAAATTACAAAATAATATTAGGTGATTGAAACATTTCAATAAATTCATCATAAATATCACTACCATATTTACCCCAAATATTTAATCTTGATTTATAAAATATATTATGTAGTTATCTGGAGAGATGTAAACCTCATTATATTTTGTAGTTAGTTGGAGAGATGTAAACCTCATTATATTGTGTAGTTAGTTGGAGAGAGTGTAAACCCTCATTATATTGTGTAGTTAGTTGTGGAGAGATGTAAACCTCTTTATAATTGTGTAGTTAGCTGGAGAGATGTAAACCTCATTATATATTAGTTAGCTGGAGAGATGTAAACCTCTTTATAATTGTGTAGTTAGCTGGAGAGATGTAAACCTCTTTATAATTGTGTAGTTAGCTGGAGAGATGTAAACCTCTTTATAATTGTGTAGTTAGCTGGAGAGATGTAAACCTCATTATATTATGTAGTTAGCTGGAGAGATGTAAACCTCTTTATAATTGTGTAGTTAGCTGGAGAGATGTAAACCTCTTTATAATTGTGTAGTTAGCTGGAGAGATGTAAACCTCTTTATAATTGTGTAGTTAGCTGGAGAGATGTAAACCT